CCAGTAACCACAAACGGTTATTGCATGAGCGATAAAGATCATTTGTAACAGCAAATGTTCTCTCAGTTAGCTGAACCTCTCTACCGAAGTCCCCGGTGGATTGCCAGAATCTCTACTGAGTAGGTGCTGTATAAAGGCCAAAAATATCCCATGAGGGTGAACTCAGTATGAGTCATTTCATTCTGTCCTTTTATTCTGTTTACCTTGATTTTCTTTATTTAGCAAATTCCATTTCTCTCTTCTGGTTACCAGTCAGTCATCATAGTGAGGTGACAGTCATGGATTTTCTAATACAATATTTCCTGATATTTTATATTTGGGGGTACGTTCATTTGATTTTAGCATTAAGATTAGGGGAGAGAGTCTGGGGTTGTGGCTCAGTGGTAGAGCATTGCCTCGCACATATGAATCACTGGGTTTGCGCCTCAGCACCACATAAAAATAAATAAATAGAATAAAGGTATTGGGTCCATCTACAACTAAAAAAGTATTTTAAAAAAATCAGTGGAGTGAAGGAAGAGGCCCAGGAACGGGGACTGTCAACCTTCTCTTGTGATGTTTTGGCGAGTCCTAATAGAGGCCTTTCCTTGGCTTCCATGTGTAATAGGCGAAGTTTTAAATATCTCCTTGCAGGTTCAGCCCTTGTAGCCCCTCTTTTTAGCAGATTATGGCAAACCTTGAAGACTAAAAAGGAACAGGTTTAAGAGGTAGGATAATTCATTCTGTTTTCATCTGCCCTTTTAAATTTGCATATTGCCTGTTTCAGTCCTGGATTATCTTTTCTTCTCCCCTTAATCATGACTTCATCTGTCTCCCTAAAGTCTTGTGAGCCTCTTCACATGCTTCTCTCAGCCATGCTCCTCCTGGAGTGAACACAGAGGTGCTGGGAATGGACAAGTACTTATCCAAAAACTAGAAAGCAGCCTCTAGTGCTCCGGAGGCATGCAGTCCTGTGGTATTTCATAGCTCTAACTCTGTAGGAGTTCCTTGAATTAGAAATGTAATGTTCAAACGGAATGTATTGATCACTGTGTTGCCAGAGCTCTACCGATTGCTGTAGATACAAAGATGAATGGTATCAGCATTCCGGGAGCTCTAGAACTATTGCAGGGTGGTCGTACGTCAACAGTTTCAACACCGGTAGTGGGAGAAGGAGGCACAGAAGCACCCAAGAGGGATGCTCTAGACCAGAGATGCCCCTGGGACACTGGTGTGCAGGCAGCAGATAGGAGATATTGGAGAAGATTCTTCACAGAAGATAATACCTGAGCCAAGTCCTGAAGATAGATAGGAAGTTGATACCATTTGAATCTGGGGTGATGGGTCATGTTCCAGGTATCAGTGAGCATTAACAAGGGCTTAGTTCTTTTAGGAACAACTGATTTCTAGAATTTGTGTCTTCTGTGCAGTTGATTATTAAGACTTTCCTAAAGACGGTTCCTGAAAGACAAAAATATATTGCAGCCACATTTAGGAAGTACCTAACACAGATGATGAGTGTGAAATGAGTTTTTATATAAAGCAACATCTTAAAAAAAGCTTATACACTTGCCTCAGGTCAATGAACCCTTAACATCAAATGCAAAAATCATTCTGTTATACAAAAGAGAGCTTGCTATCTGGGATCAAGTTCTCTGTGATAGCATTAGACATTGTTATGATAGCAAGGGGATTTATTATCACTTAACCAGAGTTGTACGTTACTGTAGAATGTAGGTCTAGGATTTCATACAGACATCTAAAGAATTAAAATGCTGTCAGTACAAGTCTTACATGAGGCCTCTAACCATTGAAGGGGAAAGAAAGAAACTAGGGAAGCAGGTGAAAGAAATGGATTTAAGTGTTCATCAAGGTTGTGATGAAGTCAACAAACAATAGCAGGCTGAAATGAGGAACCCTCATAACAATCGTTTGCCATTCCTCTGCCTTTTCTGACATCTCTTCTACAGGAAGGCAAGAAAAATGAGGAAAGATAAAGATAGACAAGACCCCACAACCCTGGATTTTGGTATATAGATTCCAGAACATTCCATTTGATTTCTACAGTGATTGCATAGGAGGATGAGGCACTTCAAGAGAACACTGCAGTGCAGAGAATGGCTTTCTGGCTTTCTAATGGCAAAGTTTAGGTCCTTGGGTTCCTCATATAGTGTTCTTTGTTGTCACACTCTACTGCCTGTCTTTATTAGGGTTTATTTTTAAATGCTATAAGCTCAGCAATTGTTCCTTCTTTGTGAATCACTAATATATGCAGCTGCCACACCACCCTGGAAGGCTCAGCCCCGCGAAGTTAGAGCAGTGTGCTAAAGTGGGAGTCAGCCGTATTTTGTCTTCATAGCTAATCTGTTGTTGAATATTGCAATTGTGACATTTTAAAATCTTTCTGCATCTCATTTTCTCTCTCCCCTTGATCTCTGCTATGTCTTGGAGCTACATGTGAATGGAATCATCTAGCTACATTGTTCTAACTATGAGATTATACTTGATGCCATTTTCCTAGGCAAGCTTCACAGTTTGCCTCCAAATATGAATCATGTTTTAATTAGTTTTGTGGGTCTCGGGAGTTGTGTTTAGGCCATTTTCTGTGTAATTCTATGTCAGATTACTTCACAAAGGACCTTGAATTCCCTGGGTAGGTATAGAAATGTTAAATATAAAGTATATAAACAATACCACCTAACATTTATTGAGTACTTGCTAATTACCAGACAGTTGAATTTCACTTAATTCTATCAATAACTATGTGAAAAAAGGTGGATGAGGAAGCATGGGCACAGGGATCTTGCACAGATAGTGTGGAAAAGGGTCAGGTCCTTTGGCTCTAGCCCATACTTTTTACCACTGTGTCATTTTGTTTATGCAGAAAATGATCTATAAAAGGTCTCTATCATAGGACACAGTTGATGCTATCAGTCGAAAAGAGTGATTTTTCCTAAAATGAAATTGGTTGTTCATTAAAATCCAATTGGCTGCTTTCACATCAGATGTGTGTGAAGAAAGGGTACTGTAGACCTTGCTCACGTAATGAGAACAATATTAAGAGTTCCCTGCAGAAAATGTTCTTCAGAGGCCTACAGATTGTTCACTTTGTTTGAAGTCAAGCTTGGAATTCATTGTGACGTGCCTTATTGGAGTTATATTAAACGTAAGAAGACCTGACAACTGTAGAAGTTTGAATATTCATCATTAATATCAGCTGTTCAATTTGGCTTCCATGATATGTGCCAGATTTGAAATCTCAAAAGGAAAATAGATAATTAGAAATGAACTGAAAATAAGGTTCTCTTTCTATATCTCTAAATTTTCTTGTATGATGTCTGTGTATTTCATATGTATTTAGCACTGGTTTTGAATGAATTAAGATAATAGAGTTTGTCCATTTTTAAAAGTCCATCCAAGATGTCCAGTAGACTTCTCTTTCCTTTGCTATTCATTCATTCATTTATTCACTCCAAACCTATTGAATACCTTCTATGCCTCACGCTGAATAAGTACACCAAAACCTTTAAATGAATGCTGTTTCAGAGTTAACTGGTTACCTCAAGAAGTAAAATCTTAATTTAACACAGTTATCAGAAATTCATTGCCTCTGATCATATACTTGGTCTCATGCAAGTTCCGGGGGAGATATAAACTAGGTAGCAGGTAAGTATTCCAATGGGTTAAAAATGAGATGGCTAAAGACAATGGTGACATGGTATGTGGTGTGCTTATATCTAGAAGGGAGCAGTAGAAGCATTTGCCATTTTTAAGAGAAGATCCAGAGTGTGACCAGTTAGACTTCAGTCTCAAGGGAAGTAGCAATTTAGGTTCCTGGTGTTTGATACTTAAAAAAGGAGCGTAATCACAATCAGAAGAAAATTATCTGAAAGTCACAAAGCTGGTTTCCACTCTCAATCCTGCTTTTTGTTTTATGTGTGAAGAAAGGGTACTGTGGCTAATTGAAAGTTGGAAAACATGCATTTAGACCAGCTCACATTCAATAATGAGCAAACAGAAGCTCAGACAGACTCCAGGAAGAGCAAAGAGCTGTGTAAAAAAAGTAACCATAATCATAATATGCTATACCGCGTGGCCCAGCAGTGATCAGTTTTATATGGTCATAGGTCAGAATGATGTAAGTTTTGACTATGGAGTTAACTACAAATTGTGACATGTTCAGATGGGAGAATTGAAGATGATGGAGGGGACAGTGGGGGGTGGGAGTAGCATTTGTAAGAGAATTAAGTCCTTTTCTACCATGATAAGAAATCAGTAGGTAATGTTTAAAATTGATTAGCCAAGGACTGGGGATGTTGTTCAGTGATAGAGCACTTGTCTAGCATGTACAAAACTCCAGGTTCAATCCCTAGCACCACATAATAATAAAAATAAATAAATAAAATTAATTAGTCAAGACACAAATAGCAAGGTAAACATAATTTTAAATGTGGATATAAGAAGAAAATGTATAGAAATATAGAGGAAATGAGGATAAAAGAAAAGAAAAAGGAATGGATTCCTGTTGGGTAGAAAGACAAGATACTGCTATTTTCTGGGTATGTATTGCATTTTAACGAATGAAATTAAATGTATTATTTTTAAAAGGGACCTTAGCTTTTATGTTCTATGTGTGCTTTCTATACTTGGCAGATAGCTGCTCACATGTTTTCCTAGAGACCATTCCCTGGAAGGAAAAAATAAGCTGGATATTAGAAGTGAGATTGCACATCAGAAGACCCAAGGCCCAAGAGTCCAAATTTGTGGCAGGGTTTTTTTCCCAAAGAAATCATGTATGCGTTTGACTGTTCATGTAGCACCATCCCTAAATTATTTTAGGGACAGATGCTGCTTCCAGAAAGGAAGTCAAATCTTACCTGTGTAAAAATTTTAAGATAGCCTGTGCCTAGGAGACAGTCTTTCTGATAGTTCCTGTATGTCTCATGGTCACATCAGTTCTAAATGAGAATTTCTCCCTAACTTCTTGTTCTGATGTTTCTTTCTTTCTTTCTTTTAAACAGGGAAATGTCCACAAAATCATGGAGAAATGTACGTTGCCCCTGACTGGCAAAGAGTGTGTCAACCGCATCATTACAGAGAAGGTAGGGAGCCTTTGTCCTTTTTATTCCCTCCAATATCCGCCACAGCCTTTTTTATTTAGAAGCATTTTTAGAATTCTTTATTACCTCCTGAAAGTGTATTACATCAGTAGTCATAGGATTAATTGAGTCTGTGGGTAAAATGAATAGCAAAATTCATCAATTTAATGTTTCTAATTGTAAAATTTTTCATGGGCAACTCTCTGGAAATATATACACACAAAATCGAACTGCTATCCTTGGTAACTGAGAGTATATCATCAGAGGAGTTTTATTGATCCCTACATTTTGACTATTAAGATGTCAAGCTGGATGATATATGCAGAGTTAAGGGCACATTCATCACTCCTACTTTACTTCCTTGCCTTCCTGGTTTGGTACTTCCTAGTACAAATCGTTGGATTTCATTTTATGAAGCTCAGTCAAAATTGAGTTTTAATCATTTGGGTGCACATTACAGTATAGACCCTACACTGAGCCAAGAACTATATTTGTTCCTTGAATGCTTTCTGCCTCTCTTATAGGGGGACTTCAAAACACACCAGGTATTTCAGTGCCTCTCTAGAATTTTCTTCTTAAATGGAAAATGTTGGCCATTGGTACAACCCAAAGACGCTCAGATCAGAGAAGCATTGCAGTCATCTTTCTGTTCCAGATTTGAATTTCAGGTGTTGAAATGTTGTAATTCCCATAAGTCAACTGGAAAGGAGGCACTTTCTTGATTCAATATTTTTTATATCAGTATTGGGAATTGAATACTGGGGTGCTCTAGTACTGAGCTACATCCCCAACCCTTTTTATTTAGAGACAGGGTCATGCTTGAACTTGTGATTCTCCTACATCAACCTCCCAAGTAGCTGAGATTATTGGCATGCACCACAGCTCACAGCCCAGAATTATTCTTGATAATAGAATAATTCATGGTAATTTTTAGGCTTTAGTCTTCATTTTTATCAAGTTTTATTTATAGCTTATAGCACTAAGTGGAAATCTTCCTAAATATTTTTAAAGTAAGTTGTTTCCTTCTTTTTAAAAATAATAGATTGTTGGCTCTCTAATATATCATGGGAAATAATTAAGGGTTGATAAAGATGCTAAAATTTTTTAAAGCAATGAGTCAATTTGCTGTAAGTTTAATCTCCCTGATTACTGAAACCTTATATTCACTATGCCTAATTCTGTCTAAATCACCTCTGTGCTTGCTCTTAATAACATAATCCAGAGGTCCTTTTTTTAATTTGTTCCATTTTTATAAATTTACAGTTTTTCATAATTCAGGAGAAAAGTAAATAATTTTGAATAGGACTCTAGACACATTTTCTCTAAAGGGGGATGTCCATTAAAAAAAAGTCATTTTAGATGAAGTAAGTTAATGGAATATGTGGACATTCCTAAATTACCAAAGCACATTTCTGCTAAAAAAAATAGTTCTTTTTAAGGAGCATTTTAAAAATGTGCAAACAAAAGGAATATTTGCTAAAATATTTCCTCTTAAGTGTAAACTACCTTTTTCAATATAATCTCTCAGGTTATCAAGCAAAGAGGGAAGGCAAGCATCTCCGGTCCTGGGATGTTTTGCTTCTAGGGGAAAATATCAATCACCTGCAGATAGTAATCATTTTAGAGTTTGGGTTCACACAGAAATGATGAGTTAAGCTGCTTAGGAGTAAGAACATGGCTGTACCGTGCCCCTGCTGTGTCTCTGGCCTGGTACTTTGAGTGTGTTTTCTTATTGTATCTGACTGTATCACAGTCTTGGGGAGTGTTTTTTTCGTGATACATGCCTATAGATGCAAAGACAGGTTCACCAAGAGGTGCTCAGCTGTCGTGCAGCAGAGCTGTAATTTTCATCCAGCTCTAAAAGCAACATTCTTTCCTATGCATGTTTTTGTGTCCTGATATTAGCCTTGTAGCCAGGATCGTTAAAAATGACAGTTCAGAGTTGGACTCGGAAAAAAGAAGAAAATAAAGATTCTCAGCCTGCAAATACTGTTTGAATTAATTAAATCCAGAGTAGAAGAAAAATCTGGGAAGCATAACATTCAAGTCTGAGAAAGAGGAAGCTAACCGTGAGAACTCAAAGAGGGAACAGTGCCTAACGTACTGGAGGAGCACTGCAGAAGTAGGGGGAAAAGTCACAGGGAAGCGGTTGTTGTGCTTAGAGCTTCCCATCAGTAGACAGGAATGCTGAGGTGGAAGGTCATATTGATGCCTTCCTTTCCACTAAGGTTAGGCTGTGGCAATTGTCACTACCATCACCTGGGACTTTAGACCAGAATGTAGCAACTAAATGTTCAAGGTGAGCTTGGTGTCTCATGCTTGCACTGAGCATAGCGTCTACGTTTGATTTGCATCAGATTTGCATACCAGAGGAGATTTTCATACTCTCCTCTTGGGATGTAAGTATTTTCATAGATTTTAAAGGGAGCGTTTTAACAGCTCATAGTTTAATGGTTACCTGGACTGGTTCTCTTGTTTGTCACAGCCAGGATAACTCTTTTTTTATATTACCTTTAGGCATTTCAGATTACCCTATCTTGTTTCCTGTAATTCTTCACCTAACACCATTTATCAACATTTTTTTTTTAATCATCCCTGTCCTTTCTCCATTCAGATATCCCCTGCCTCCCTCCTTCCCCTTCTTCATTTTTTTCTTTCTTCAGATCATTTCACCAAAAGTGTTAGACTTGGGTTACAATACTAACAAATGCCACCAAGAGTCAACAGTTGTCTCTTCGACACCGATAGTGTTCTGCATCTAATTGCTGATTAGGGAGTTGACGTTCATTTATATGCTTAAAGTTGACATTTTTTTCATTGCTGATTCTCAGAGTCTTTTGTCCTAGATCTTGTCTGTCTTTTAAAAAACTTGGGAGGTTATTTGTTTTGTACTGTAAAATAATTATGCTGATGAAAATTGTCATTGTCATTTTCTTGTCTCCCACAGGCTGTGTTTGACGTGGACAGTAAGAAAGGGCTGACTCTGATCGAGCTCTGGGAAGGCTTGACAGTGGACGACATACAAAAGAGCACTGGGTGTGATTTTGCTGTAAGTGTCTCTGTGAGCTAACCCGGCCTTTTGTGCAACATCACAGGCTCCCGGATGTGTGTTTACAGGACGTGAACCATTAATTTGTGATCATTTTGGGAGTTGACCTTTGCAGTGTACAACAGTGGAAGGAAGGGTGCCTGCTGATGAGAGCAGGAGGGAGCAGGAGCCCTGCTCTGACTCATGGGCCAGAGCTTGGCTCAGGAGTCTGAAGCAGGAGAGTGAGGAGCCAGCAGAAGTTGTTGGAAACAGGGCTGGCTTGACTTCCAAGCTACTTGCTGCAAAGTCCCTGGGGGGGTCACTGTTCTTTGAGTATATGTCAGCTGTGGTTAAATTTGATTAACTCAAAAGTGTGAGCCACAGGTGGAGAAATTATGCTTCCTTATTTTTAAACCCAGTGGTTTAATGGACAACTGAGTCCATTTAAAGTTAACCAAAGTAAAAGTAATAACGTCTCTGAAACAACAGAGGAAAGATTCAATTCTCAGACCCTTTTTAAAGAACCAGTCTACTATTTAAAATGGAATATTATTGCAAGGAGAAGAAAATACATTCATGTTGCAACTACCCATCTTGAAGAAACAAATTTAACAACAATTATTTGATAGTCATGTGTAGATTCCATATAACTTTATGCGTGCTACATGCTTGGCTTGTATTTATCAGTGCATAACAAATTTCTTTAAAACAAAAGTTGCATAATTCATTATCCATATAATAAGTGTTTCTGTACGAAGGTCTTTGTCTATTAACCTTTTCTGAGTTTCCTTTTGGAAAAAAAAAGAAGTCTCCCAGTAATACTTCGATTGGAAAGTGCATCTTTAATTAGTTTTCCAATTTCATCAAGGTGGAAAAGAGGGATTTGTTTATACTCTTTAAGTATTTGCAAACAGTTCTTAATCAGCTGTTCTTTCTTTCTTTCTTTCTTTTTTCCTTCCCTTTTCAATGTGAAAGAGTTAACTTCTTTGTCAGGTAGCATTTTTAACATCCATAGAATTTTCAATGTATATTAACAAGAATATACAATAGAAGACCCTAGTTAGTTATTTTAATTCATGTGGGTAAATCAGAAATGAAAAAGATGAATTCTTGTACTTTTGCAAAAAAAAAAAGTGCTAATTTTCCTATCTTTATACAATGAAAGATATCTGTGTTCTCTCTTACATTTTAGTACCACTCCTTCTTTTCATTATAATTGTTTTTAACTGATATATAAAAGTTATACTTGTTTATGGGGTTTTTGATGTTTCAGTACACGTTGTTTGATGTTTCAGTACATGTTTACATTCTGTAATGTTCAAGGCAGGATAAATATATCCACTTCTTATAACACCATTTCCTTATGTTGGTAACATTCAAAATCTTTTCTTCTATCTTTTTGAAATATGAAGCACATTATCATTCTCTGTAGTCACACTGCTGTGCAATAGCACACCAGAACGTTTTGCTCTTGTCTCACTATAACTCAGCACCTATTTATCAATCTCTTTTATCACTTCCTTTCCCCTACTCTCTGAAGCCTCTGGGAATCACTGTTCTGCTGTCAACCTCTGTGAGAACAACTTTTGTGTGTGTGTGTGTGTGTGTTGTGCTGGGGATTGAACCCAATTTTTTTGATCCCTCTCATGTGTAAGATCATGCAGTACCTGTCTTTCTGTGCCTGGCTTACTTCATTTAACACAATGATCTCCACTTCTATGCTTGTTGTCTCAAATGACAGGATTTCATCCATTTTATGGCTGAATAGTATTCCATTATGTAGATGTACCATATTTTCTTTATTCAATCACCAGCTGATGGACACTAGGGTGTTTCCATTTCTTAGCTGTTGTGAATATTGGTGCAGTAAATATGAGAGTAGAGATGTCTCTTTAACACAGAGATTTTATTTCCTGGGATATATATCCAGTCATGGGATTGTTGAACCATAAGATAGTTCTGTTGTTAAGTTTTTTTGTTGTTGTTATTGTTTTTGAGGAACCTCCACACTGTTTTCCTCAGTGGTGGTGCTAATTTACACCTCCTCCAGTGTGTGTTTTTTCTTTACATTCTTACTGACACTTGCTATTTTTTTTTCTACTCACTCATAATCTTAGCTGTGTAGAGAAGGATATCACTTGACATTCTAGTTAGGTGATATTTCAATGTGGTTTTGATTTGCATTTCTTTGATTATTAGTGAGTTAAGAATTTTTTCATTTATCTGTTGGCCATTTGTGTGTCTTCCTTTAAGATATGTCTGTTTAAGTCTATTGCCCATTTTTTAATTGGATTATTTGAGATTTTGTGCTATTGAGTTGTTTGAGTTTCTTATATATCCTGAATATTAACCGTTTGTTGGATGTATAGTTTACAAATATCTCCCATTCTGTAGGTTGTCTATTACTTATTTCCTTTGCTGTGCAAAAGTTTTTTAGTATACTGTAATCTTATTTGTGTACCTTTGCTTTTGTTTCCTGTGTTTTTGGAGTCTTATCCAAAAATGACTTGCCCATTCCAATGTCCTGAAGTGTTTCTCTGTTTTCTTCTAGTTTTATAGTTACAGATCTTACATTTATGTCTTTAGTCCGTTTTTTAGAACCGATGAGAGGTAGGGGTCTAGTTTCATTCCTCTGCATATAGTTACCCAGTTTGCCTAGCACTATTTATTGAAAAAAATTCCCTTCTCCAATGCATGTTCTTAGCACATTTGTCAAAGATCAGGTGACTAGAGATGTGTGGTTTTGACTTCTAGGATCTCTGTTCTGTTTCATTGGTCTATGTGACTGTTTTTATGCCAATGTCATGTTGTTTTTAATTACTATAGTTTTGTAAGGTATTTTGAAGTCAGGTTGTGTAATGCCTCCTGCTTTTTTCTTTTCTTTTCTTTTTATTAGTGCATGTTGACAATGCAGAACAATAGGTTTCATCATGGTATGTTCATGCATGCATATAACTTGAATCATTTCCATCCCCTGTAGCCCTTCCTACTCTCTTCACCCCACCCCCTGATCCCTTTCCTCTTTTTTTAATAGAAAATAGAAGTCTCCCTTCTATTTTCATGTTTTCTCCCCCAGCCCCCGCATCAGATTCCGTATATGAGAGAAAACATGCAGTTCTTGTCTTTCTTTGGCTTATTTTGCTTAATATGATGATCTGTAGTTGCATTGTTCTTTTTGCTTAAGATGATTTGGCTACTTGAAGTTTTTTGTGGTTCCATACAAATTTTAGGATTTTTTCCCTCTTATTTTGTGAAGAAAGTGCATGTTATGTTGATAGAGATTGCATTGATCACTTTGGTAGTATGAACATTTTAACAATATTGATTCTTCCAGTTCATGAACACAAAATTTTCTTTTTATACTCTTCAAATACTTTCATCAATGTTTCATAATTTTCATTGTAGAGATTTTTCACTTTTTTGTGGGGGGGGCTAAATTTATTCCTAAATAATTTTCTCTGTAGCTATTACAATTTCAATTGCTTTCTTGGCTTCTTTTCAGATAATTTACTATTGGTGTATAGTAATGCTATTGATTTTCATATGTTGAATTTTTATCCTGCAACTTTACTGAATCATTTATTAGCACTAATAGTATTATTTGGAGAAATCTTTGGGGTTGACTATATAAAATCATATAGAAACAATGACAATTTGGCTACTTCTTTCCAATTTGGATGCCCTCTATTTCTTTGTCTTGCATGATTGCTCTAACTAGGATATCCAATGCTATGTTAAGCAAAACTAGTTAAAGTGAGCATCCATCCTTGTCTTGTTCCAGATCTTAGAGAGAAAGCCTTTTCCCTATAAGTATGATGTTAGCTGCTGGCTTATTATATATGGTCTGTATTATGTTGAGGTACATTTCTTCCTTTTTTGTTTTAATCATGAAGGAATGCTGAATTTTATCAAATGCCTTCTTTCCACCTGGCACTGTTGTAGGCTCAGAGGCTCTGGCTGTAGGCCCTGGCCTGGGGACAGAGACTGCTAGGATCTGCCAAGTGTTTGGTTTCAATCAGCCCAACCCTCAGTTTCAAGACACAACCCTGTGCTCACTTTCCTGCCCTACCCACTGGGGAGAATCTTGCTCCTCTCTATACCTAAGGTGGTGGAGGCAGCCCTGTGGCCATGTGGCAGAGGAGGGGCCAGAGGCTCAATTTGCAGGTACTGGCCTAGAGCAGGAATCGTGAGGCTACCACTGGGTTTCCCCACATTGAGCCTGTTGCTGGGCTTCAAGTCTAAGGCCTGGTCTCAGTCTTGCCTGTCCCACCCAGCCCTGTCTCCAAGCTGGAGACATCTCTTTTCTTGCTGTGCTGTGTAAAGTTGGAGAAGTAGAGATATGAGCCACTTTTTTCTTCCTGCCTTCTTCATTGCATCTTTTCTCATTCATTATGGTAAAATCAGGCATTATATTGTCTAACGCCGGCTTCCTGAGCTCTGCTGAAGGTGGTTTGGTATGTGGAAAACTGCCAAATCCATTTCTCTGTGAGGAGGTGACCACTGGAGTGTCTCTGTAGCCACCATCTTCCTCCCAGTCCCATCTTTCCTTTCAACAGTGACATGCAATCTTGTGTCCATAGGTTGTTGAGATGAAGTGTTAGTTTGTATGTCACTGTTGTCCCAGCAATTTAAAGGTGTGACATCAGCTCACCCATCCAGACAGAAGAACTAGCTTTTGGGGATCTGATGATGGATGGCATCTCTTTAGACCCTGACAGAGGAAATCACTGAGAGCAGGTGGTTTCTCCATGAGGCTAGAGACTGGAGGGCTCTGATTAATAAAAAGCATAATAGCTGGATTATCAAAAGGATATATTTAATAATAAAAATCACATTGAGGATAATATTTCTTTTGTGATAATCCAGGAATTATTCCGTGCTGTAATTCAGAAGATGTGCTTTTTACTACATGGGTAGCATTATATTCTATGTGACTCTATCAGTTCCTCATTTTTCTTTGAGGGCTTTCGATGTAGCTTAGTGATAAAGTGAGGCCCTGGGTTCAATCCCCAGCATATACA